CCACAAAAGTCCATTATATAAGTAAACAATCTGTATCAGAATACTTTAAGATTGTAATGTTAGTATGCTATACAATTTTATCCTTAGTATATTGGCTGAATTGCAAAACTGAATAAAAACTATAGTTAAAATACAAATAAATAAACCAAAAAAGGTAAGAGTATAGTTCTGTGGTACAGCACTTGACTAGCATGCATCTGGGTTCAATTCCCAGTACGGGGGAAAAAAAAAAAAAAGACCCTAAGAACTGATTTAGTGCAATTCTATAACTTACTTGTCTATGTTTATATCACTTAGCTCCCAAAATTTTACACACATTAGTCAAGAGTATAAAAAGTAAAGATAAGCTAGCATTTTTATAAAAACCCAGAATTACATGTTCCTTCAAAAAAAGCAGCTCAGATTTTTTTTAAAAAAATCTAAACTTCAAACACACCCCCCTCTGCAAATACACCCATACACTAATATTGAATTTTTGGACTTTAAATTTCTTTTTGGAGGGGCTGGGGATTTAGCTCAGCGGCATAAACGCCTGCCTTGCAAGCAGGCAGTCGTGAGTTCGATCCCTGGTACCAATAAAAAGGAAAAAGACAAAAAAAATATTTTTTTTTGGACTAACAAACCAAAGTACTAATCAAAGAAATGAAACTAAAAAGACAAATATATGACATGAAGTTACAAAATTTATACTTCATAATCTATGAAGAATCAAAGTTATAAACCTAACCTTAGCAAAGCCAAGTGACACTTCCTTCTGACAGGAAAGGTGTTTTTCTGAGCTATGAGGGAGGTAAATTCACTGCCATCCTCCAGGGGGAGGCAGCGCAGTGTGGTAAACATCACATGCTTCAGGATGCAGGCGCTGGGTTAGAACCCCCCACTTACTGAGTGGACTGCAGCCAAGCCCTGCACCTGCAAGGCGCTTAGAACACTGCCTGGTACACACAAAGCCTTTGGCAGACAAGGGCTGCAGCAGACCTCTGGAATCTGCACCTTTCTGTCAACCTCAAATGTTATAAGAAATTCAGAACCTCAGGTCCAAATCCAGACTTACCAGAGCTGTAACCTGCATTTTTATCATGAATAATCTCCCTATGCTTCAACTGCAAATTAGTTTGAGAAGCACAACTAACAGGCACTTTCTACCCTGTATTCTATGAGATGGTAGCTAGTATAAACACTTCTGTTACTTGTCTGCAACATGAAGGAGTTACATTTATTTCTAGTAAAAAGCAAAGCATATTTTGAGATGAAATTCTGCCTTATCGAAGACAGGACCCACCAGGCCACAAAGCTGTAGAACACTGCCATCTAGCGGTAGCTTTTCTGATGCACATACAAAAAAAATTGCCTGTCACCTTTCATTTTAAAACATTGTTATTTAAAATAGTATTGGGTTTTGTTTTTGCTTAATTTCTCTCTTGAAGCTTTAAGTTTCTCATTTAAAACTCATATTAACTGTAGGAAAGTTTGAAAATTAAAATAACGGCACACTCACACTCACTAAACACTGTAAAGACATCAGGCTTAGAAAATGAATTCTTTGGAAATATGTGTAACTGTGGGGGTAACTTTTACTTTCTTCTTCCCAAGTTCTGTTCTTTTCACCAATTATTTATATATATAGTGTCCAAGCTGGAAAGATGCTTTCATATTAAGAAAAAATATTTTATAATCATCTGATTTAGTAACTCAACTTTGACATTCTATCCTAAGGAAATAATCAAAAATGTAGATCAAAGTTCTTTTACAAGATCTGGCTATTACAAATTGTGCTGCTATAAACATAGGTGCAACATATATCACTGATATGATGCTTTCAGTTCTTCTGGGAATATGCCTAGAAGTGGGATAGCTGGAACAAATGGGACTTCCAATCCCAGCTTTTTGAGAAATCTCCAGACTGACCTCCACAAAGGCTGTACCAGTCTACACTCCCACCAACAGTGCAGGAGAGTTCCTTTTTCCCCACAGCCTCTCCAGCATTTGTTGTTGGTTTTCTTGATCCTGGCCATTCTTTCAGGAGTGAGATGGAATCTCAGTGTGGTTTTAATTTGTATTTCCCTAATGACCAATGATGATGAACATTTTTTTCATGTATTTATTTGCCATTTGTATTTCTCCCTCAGAGAAGTGTGTATTCATCTCAGATGCCCATTTTTGGACTGGGTCTTTGAATTTTGGGGGTCTGAGTTTTTTTTAATTCTTCATATGTTTTAGACAAAAGTCCCTTGTCTGAGGGGGAGTTCACTAAGATCTTTTCCCAGTTTGTGGGTTTTCTTTTCACTATGCTGGAGATTTTTTTTTGACTTACAGAAACTTTTTAATAAGAGGTGGTCCCAGTTATTGATTCTGGGAAGTATTTCCCGTGCGGTTTGAGTCCTGTTCATGAATTCTCTACCTACCCCTATGTCTTCAAGGTTTCTATCTAATTTGTCTTCCAACAGATTTAGTGTTTCTGTTTTAATATTCAGATCTTTGATCCATTTAGATTTTAATTTAGTACATGGTAATAGTCTTGGGTCGAGTTTTAGTTTTCGGCAAATGGAGAGCCAGTTTTTTCAACACCATTTATTAAAGAGACTGTCGTTTTTCCAGTGAACCTGCTTGGCTCCTTTATCAAAGATAAGGTGGTTGTGTGTGTTTATAGTTGTGGTTGTATCTTCTAATCTATTCCATTGATCCTCTGCTCTGTTTTGATTCCAGTACCATGTTGATTTTACTACTGTTGCTTTGTAGTATAACTTCAAGTCAGGGATTGTTATGCCTCCTGCCTTGCCTTTGCTGCTTAGAATTGCCTGATCAAAGTTCTTTTACAAAGATGTGCATCTCAACAAAGCTTAATCTTATAGCTTCATAATAGCTCTCTGAATTTATACATCAAAATTTATTCTTCTCTCTCACTCAGTTAAAATCATCTGTAATTTTTCCACACTACAAATAAATACATTTACATACACAGAAAAAGAAGGAAGTACAGGAAGAAGATGGAAATAAATACTGCATAGGGCAACTCACGTGATTTTTCCACATTTTGGATCATTAATGAATATACATTTCTCTGAGTTACATTATAGTATCCAAGAGAATTTTTGTGGCTAACAACCAATTTGCTTTGTAAGAGCACTGTAACCTTTTAAATGCCTCAAGTAAGGTTACACACTGTACAGCTGCCTCTCTGGCATCAGGTTATTTTCTATGGCTATTTTTAATACCTTTATTGAAATACTATTAACACACTATCCAGTTCACTACTTCAAAGTATGTAACTCAATACATCTTAGTGTTTTTAAAGAGCTATATTACCATTGCAATCATCTAATTTAGTACATTCTCATCATCCAAAAAAGAAGTACTGTACCCACTACTAGTAACTCCCTGTTCCTCTGACCAGCTCCTAGTACGGTTAATCTTTACTATCTGACCACCTCATGATTTCTTCATATTTTCTTAATTGTTTCAACTCCAAGCAATGGAATAATTCTCAGACTATGAAATGTTCCACTGCTTAACCACAGAAAAGTAAAACATACAGGCATGGCTGTTTTCTCAGAAGGTACTTCTAAAAGGCAGGCCATAATTTAAAGGGCTAGGAAAAGCACCATGTAAGTGCAAGGTTATCCATTCTTTTCAAATCTAGTGAGAGTTATCTGTAGGGAGGAAAATACCTTTTCCTTACCCATCCCAGGTTTACAGCTGACATCCTTTTTACAGATTCACAGGACAAAAAGCACCCAGATTTATGAAACAGCCATTTTGTCTGACAAGAAGCTTTTGAAGGTCATGAAGACTTGAAACAGTTTAGCCTGTGAAGTTTTTGTTATGGCCATGGTTGTTTTACTGCACTGGGGTTTGTTGTGGTTTGTGGCTAGACGTCTCCCCAGAGCTTCATACAGTCATAGGGTTTTTTCAGAAGTGGCTGAATCTAGCATGTCATGCTGGGTTATAGGTGGGTGGTTACTGAATCAGTCCACTGACTGGTTCCACACCACCTTAATCCCAGCAGTCTGGATCATAGAAAGGAGCAGAGAGACACTGCTATGGTCCCTTGCTGCTTTTGCTGTCTTCTGCTGCCATGAACTGTTGCTGCTCTGCCATGTGCCACCTTCCCTCCCCTCCCTCCCCAAATATTTTTGACATGAGATTGTGGAATCCAAGAGTAGCGAGGGCTGTGTCTCCTGCTTTGAGAACCTGGGCTCCTCCCCTCTTAGCTGTTCCTTTTCTAATTAGCAAAAGGGCTACCTTCCATGAGCCCACATAGGCCCAGGACTTCCAGGTTCACCCAAGTGATTCTTTGGAAATGGTGCTATGTGCTTATTTACAACACAGTTTCTCTCATGATGTCACAGGAGAGTAGCTGGAGTACATGGTTGAGATTCAGAAGCCATGCAGTGCACACAGCACTGGTGTTATGCTAGGTATCAGTGACCGAGATAAGGTTTCAGCAAGCATATACAGGCTGTGTGCACATCATGTAAGGGACTGAGCTTCTGATCTGCAGATCCTGGCGTGTAAAACATGGATCCTGGCCACAATCCTCCAAAGCCCAGAGAAACCAAGGGACAATTGCACTTGAAGATGCCACCCTGTGACATACTAAAGCAGCAGCCTCACCTCCAAAGTGATTCCCCTCAAGCCAGCAAGCTCATTTTGACAAGTAGGATGGAGTCTGTATCTCAGCCCCCACCTTCCCCTTCACAGCTGCAGAAACAGCCCTCAAGAACGTGCGCAGTGGCCTTGGAGACAGACAAGACAGAGAAAAAGGCTTAGAGGTCCCTGCACCTGGGCAAGTAAAGCAGGGACAGTCTGTTCAGGATAAGGCCAGCCCTGTGCCAGGGCACACAGCTCACCACAGAGTGCTCAGCTTCAGTCAGCTGACGTGGAAAAGATGTAAGCTGCAAAAAAGGCTTTGATCCCCTGAGATTCAAACCACATAATCCTCCATTTCTAAAGGACCAAATCTTCTAAATCTGTCATCGCAGTAGCATACTCACGATTACCTTTCACACCACCAAACGGCCCACAGGTCATATTGCAGGCTGTTCTCTGAAGATGATGTTCGTACATCAGTCTGATCTGGTACTGGTTCCCATGTTCCACATTACCCAAGGTTCCTAAGATGAAAAAATAAAAGGACTGTTTAGTATGTGTTTACATTTTAAGAACATTAACTTCTCATCTTCTCATCTTCTGTATCAACTCTTTTTTGTTTTCTTTCTATGCAGTTCAGGCTGACCTTGAACTCACTTTACTATGGTCCAATCTAGCCTCAAATTCATAATGATACTCCTGCCTCTGCCTCCGGAGTGCTGGGATTACAGGTAGCCACCAACCACACCCAGCCGAGTATCAATTCTAAGTAATTCAATTTTAGTGAAATTTAAACAAAGCACTAAAACATTATGAACAATTAGCTTCCTGAAAACACAGAGAGAAAACCTGAAAGGCTAAAACCATTTAATCTCAACTATATGACACCCTTAGATGAAATACTACCCAGGGAATGCTTCAGTATCTATTTTTGTTAGACATGCCTGGGTAAAGTGCAATTACTCAAATAAAACAAACATTTTTGCTTCAGTTTAAAAATAAATCAGGTTAAGTTTCTTGCATTTATAAACAATAACAGCAAAGAAATGACTCAAAGTGTCTATGAAAAATATCCCAGCACCTTACAGCAATTAATTTTCTGGCCTCAACTCTAAAAATAAGTCAATCCTCTAACACATTGCATTGTAATTTAAGGAAGAGGTCTCATAAGCTTTCCTCAGCAAGTAAGCAGGACATGTTTAAAGTCGGCTAAGAAGGCTCTTCTTTAAAACAAAACAAAACAAAGCAAAACATATTATCCCTGTATTTAATAAGCCATATTGCTACAATGAGTTTCTAGTTTTTTCCAAACAAGAAAATATTCTTTACCTGTATTTACTCTCTGGTGTTAGGCTCTTGAAATTACTTAGACGCATAAAACAGTGCTCAGACAAGCAATTAGGATGAGAAGTGTCAGAAGTCAGGTATAGTAGTGTTTGCTTATAATCCCAGTCCTCTGGGAGGCTGAGACAAGAGTACCACAGAGTCAGCCCTGGGATTGTATGCAATCCCCCCACTGTGTAGCTCACAGCAAAGGTGCTAGGTTCAATCGCCGGATACCACAGGGGAAAGAAAAATCATGGCATTGGAAAGTGTTATGGATGATACACTGTGTCAACTTTAGAAATTTAACTAAGTGACTCAGCTAGGGGCCAGCCTCTTTATCTTGTAAACATCCTCATTCTGTGCACAAGGAGGACACAGAGATTTTGTGAGTGCTAAACTCACCTTGGATGGGGGGTGCTGCTTATACTATAAGGGAGGAAAAGAGCTTGTTCTCACTCCATTTAGTCTGGTTGCTTTTGCTGGCTGCTGCCTTTAAGTGTTACCTGATGCCATGTGCCACCCTGCCTTGAAATCAACTAACTGATTATGAACTGAAACTTCCACAAACAGTGAGCTAAATAAATCTTTCCTTCCTCCATTTTGGTGTCAAGTGTTTTGCCCCAGCAACAAGAGAAAAGTAACCAAGACAGAAAGGAAAAGGACTTAAGAAGCAACTTTTTCTATAAAAAAGCAGCTTTATTATTTATTCTTCCAAAATGCTGCGATCAGAGCCAGGCGTGGTGGCTCACGCCTATAATCCCAGCACTTGGGAGGCTGAGGCAGGGGGATCATTTTGAGTTCGAGACTAGCCTGGGCTACAAAGTGAGCTCAAGGCCAACCTGAACTGCACAGCGAGACCCTGTCTCAAAAAGACAAGAAAAAAAAAAAAAAGCTACGATCAAATAAATTTTTAAATTGTCCTAAAGTAAATTATATAGTCCTCAAACTGAATGTATTCGATCACTAAAACAATCTAAATATAAATGTATTTATACATTGTCATATATTTGGCATTCTGAGGGTTTTTGTTTTTGTTTTGTTTTATTTTGATTTTTTTTCCTAGACAGATTTATCAATATATATTGAGATTGTCAGAATATACTTCATCTTCAATTTATAATGCAGGTAACTTAATTCAAAGAACAAATTTGCAGCACTGAGCAGGTTTTAGAGTTAATCAATTAGCTTTCTTTATTAACTCATGAATCTGTTCCAGGTCTAAGTGACTTGCCTGATGAGCCAGCGGCTGGCATGCAGAAATAGAACTCTCCGTGCCAACAGTCATGGTAGAGGCCTACAGTAGCCTGTGACACTGTGACATCTCTGTAGGCAAGGTAACACCGCAGCTGAGGACACTGACTCTCCCTCAGATTTCCAGGGCAATAACTGCCAACCTTAGTGATAAAACAGTCCTCTCATTAGGCAAAGATGTACTGCTTGGGATGTCTTTGATGTCTTTGTGGCTTTTGCCTAGCTATTACCTGCACTTCTTTGCATGCTCTCTGATGCAGCTCCAAAAAGCAGTTCCAGATCGGAGAAGTCAGGGTCTTAAGCGCACTGACCTTCCCGGACCCCGCCATACCATATTACTTTTACCTATTGTCTTTTATCCTCTGCTGTACACTCGCCCAGGGGATTAGAAGACTGGCCAGCTCCCATACTTACCTTGAGTGGGATGGGGGAGATTATTGCCAGGTCCACTAAAGCACACCTAAAAAGTGCATAACCCCTAAAACAGGCTTCTTCAGCAAATTAAGTATTTTGAGCTAAAGATCTTTGAAAAAAGCAAGAAAAGCAATAAAAAGGCACAAATTTTATAAAGCTGTCCATTTATAAAGACACCTTCATATCCTGTACCAGGAAGAGAAGGGCTCTGATACAGATAAGAAGTGCTTGGCTCTCTCCCCATTCTCCTCTAACGCAAAAAAGGGCAGGACTGGGCCAATGGCCCTTGACTCTCTCCCTCAGTTCCCTTTGCTCTCTCCCATTCCACCCTCAGGGTGGACTGGGACAACTGGTTTCAGTGTCCTCCTGGTTATGTAGCAACCATGCTCCTCCTGGCCACTCCCATGGGGTGTACTTGGCTGTCAGGTATAGTACCCACTTCTGCTCTAGAAGTTCCAGACACTGCCACTTCTTTGCAGAAGCAACACAGCTACTGTCCCTAACACGGTCTTTGGGTCACGGGTGAGGGGTCAGAACCCATTATTAATATCCCCAACCTCCTCAAACCCCAATACACCAGCCATCATGACAGCTGTCTTCAACACCCAGTTTCTACCCTAGGAGATGTTCTCCTGACTACAGCAGACTCCAGTTTAAATTAAGAAGTAGAACCGAGTTTGGATCCACCAGCAGACATGGGTCAGGTTTGTCTTTACACCAGCATGACCAATAAGCAGGTTCATATATGGACCACTTACAGGCCTGCTGTCACTTCAGAAACAGCATCTAACACCCTCCACAGGTTGGTCAAGGAGGGCTCCCTGCTGCACAAAACTCTGTCTTGTAGCATACGTTCTGCTCAAACAAGGTTTTGCTCTGGTGGTCCTATACCTCTGCTTATAATTTGTTTCTCAGGTAGCGTGGGCTCCAAAAGTCCGGTTAATCTCCTTGGGATTCATATCATGAATAGTGTGGGCAAAGTTATTGCAATAAAAGAAAGATCTATAAATACTAAAGGCCGTACCTCTCAACAGCTCCAGAGAACTGCAGCTGATGAAAATCAACCCTAGGACCAGTATGTGGCAGAGCTGAGTGTCCAGTATAAACCAGCATGGAACAGACACAGGCAGTTTATGACAGCATACACCTACAACCACCAGTATCCAAAATGGCATCCAGCAGTAACTGGTATCAACCTTTGGCATCAGGACTGATAGAAGACCTGTGTTTTGCCCTGTTCATGATTTCTATCTGACTTGAGCAAAAGAACTGTCAACTGTTGGCAGCATTTTAATTCACCAATAAAGAAAGCCATGACTTAAATCTATGTAATAAACTTTACAATCCTTACTTACCATACTTTCCCTGGTCACCTTTTCATCCTAGCAGCCCAAAGTGCATCTCCTTTACTTAGCCTATAATGATACTGATGTCCAAGTGCTCAAGCACACCCCACTGTGTCAGTCACACTGAATGCTCCCATGTATACAGATGTAATACACACGTCAATAAATTTCTGTCTTTCTCTTGTTAACATATCTTTGGTCAATCTACAGGGCCCCTGAGGATATAGCTCAATGGTGCTGTACTTATTCAGCATGCATGAGGCACTATGCTCAATCCCCATGATCCAAAAATATTAGTGGATAATGTACAAAGTTACAGCTGCAGAACCTAAGATAGCTAAAGGACAAGAAAAGCTCTTTCCCTTCCCTATGCCTTTTTCTGCCTGGGGTTCTCTCTACCCTTGGAATGGGGAGGGCTGTAGTCAATTAAAAATAAATCCATCCTGAAGATGCCTCTATATCTGAGTCCCTATAAAACAAAGTGCAAGCTAACATAACACAGACAAACTGATGGTCCTACTCAGGAGTAGTCACCACCACTCACAGTAGCCAGAATTCAGCCACTCACAGTGGGCAGCTGACCAGGCCATGCTCACACAAGGCAGAGTCTAAGCTGTGCCCATCAAGTTGTTCTGGCCTTGCTTCCACTTCTTTGCCCACAAATGCCACCTGTCCACCCTGCATGGAGGAGCTCTTAACTTCTGACAACAGTCCAGTTTCTAAGGCCACATGCATAATAATGTTCACAGCATCATAATTCATAATTAGGTAAATTTTGGAAGCAGCCTATATATGTCCACTAACAGAGGAATGTATAAAAAAAAATGTGGGTTTTTTTGTCATACATAAAGATAAACCTGAGTCATCTGTAGGAAAACAGATACACCTTGAGATCATAATACAGTATTAAGTGAAATAAATCAGACATACAAGCTTAAATATAAATAAAGAGTAAAATAAAATCCAGATAATAGAAAGTAAGGAGATAGATCTTTCTCAAATGGGAAAGGGACAAAGGGATGGAGGGAGAGAAGACAAGTAATGGAAAAGGGATGCAAAAAGGAATTAAGATGTGTTATATAGATGGACCAACTCACACAAGAAATGTAAACATCACATACTGCAAATATGCACTAATAAAAAAACTGAATATAACTTTAGAGAACAAAGAATTTATTTTCCTGAGATAACTACTTCAGAATAAAAGTATTTGAGAATGTAAAACTTATGATCATTTTTTAAAAGTGATAATAAAATTACTTTAGTGACATAATAATAAAATTACATTAGTGATATAATAATAAAATTACTTACATAACTAAAAAAACTTACATAGATTTTGCCTCAGATACATAAACTTACAAATGTACATAAGTCTACGTATGAGTAAATAAATATCATTTCATCAATTAGAAAATAAATGAATATTAGAACAAATATAAAAAATTATCAGCATATCAGTAATGTAAAAGGCTGAAGAAACAAGAGATGAGGGAAATGAGGTAGGACCTAAGGGAATGTAGTTTTTAGACAACTTCTGATCACCAGAGAATACAAAGCATTTAAATAAACACACGTAATGAAAGGACAATAAATCACCCTTCCCAGGACAAATAACTTTCATTTGGAACACTAATTTATAAGTAAATACCAATGCCCCATAAAGAAACTGTTTTTAGAATATATATATTTTTTATCCCTATACCTTACCCATAGTCCCAGTCTGTCTTTCTTGCCATAATTTGTATGAGACCACAGAGGGCCAAGAGTGTAAGCTAATTTGTTGTTACTAAGATGCCCCTACTTCAGGCTTTGCATAGCACCCCAATGGGGCTTCCAGAAGGGACTCATTCCCCAAGAGGTACTTAGGGTATCTGTGGCAAGTTCTCTTCCAGGGCTTGAGTAACTCAGTAAAACACCACTTGCTAATAGGAAGGCTTAATCAAAAGATCACCCTGTGTTCCCCGACAGCCTGGGTAACTTGGCAAGACCGTATCTCAAAGTTAAAAAATAAAATAAAATTTTAAAAAGCTGATGATATAGCTCAGGCCTAGCATGCCCAAGACCCTAGGTTATATCCTCAGCACAGAAAAAAAAGGCAAACAGTTATGTACTTATGATCAAAAATATAAAATCTAGATGCATGAAAAAAGTGACCTACACTATCTTCTTCATTTATTCTGGAATATAAATATGTGCCCCATCACTAGGAAGAACAATATCCTCTGCCATGAAACCAGCATGAGTACACTGTATCAGCCTCAGACATAAACAGAATAGCAAGAAAAAAACAATGGCAATGAGAAGGGGAGAGAACAGTACACAGAGCCACTGCCAACTGTCTCAGAAATACCAAAAATCCATCACACACACATTCAATTAGCATGCACTGGATGTCTACACTACACCACATGCCTGGCCACCAGGCCTGCCTTAGCAAGCCAGCAGCTATTTCCCCCAAAGAGAGAGCCTGAGAATATCCAGCTTAGTGATGACACATACACATTACCACTCAAAAATTACAAAGAAGGCCCAAATCAAGAGAGTAAGACAAACAAATCCAAGTCCTAGAAACTAATACAGAAAAATCCCAGAAAAATGCATGAAGTATTCTGTATATAGGGAAACACTATAGAAACTTAGCTTAATCGTAACTATAATAAAATTGACATCCTGAAAATTGACATCCATATGAGGCAGATTAGGGCAAAGCAGGCTGGCGGAAAACATCGTACAGCACATAACCTGAGCCAGACCAGAGGCTGATCAATAAAATGCGACCTGTCAACTACAGCCAGGATGCATGGGCAGAGCAACTGCCAGAGGATCAGATCTGGGAAGATGTAACAGAGAGGGGCCACTGACTTTGCTCCCACTCATCTTGCTGTCCTACTGCCCTCCTACTTCTGCAGTGGCCCATTCTGCTTATAGAATCTATCACTTCTTATTCTCCTCTTCATTCTTTCTTCTCTTTTCTTCACTTTTTTTTCTGCAAATTTAAATAAAATTTGCTTTTACGTGGTTAGTGGTTATTTAGCCCAACACTTTGGGCAGGAGAGAAAGAGCCTGGAATCACTGGACATGCTGCCATCCAGCAAGACATAAAAATAACTCTCATTTGAACTAAAACATATACTGAAATTTTAAAAAAAGTTAAATTTACCTATTAAGTTCAGTAAATGTCAAAATGCTGAACCCCTAATGCTGCCCCACAGAAGCACGTCAGAGAATAAGACATGTTTCAGCTGTCTAAGTGTCTTGTAGTCTAGGTGGGCAAAGATAATTCAAAGCCAAGAAACTGGAACCAGGAGAAAACACCTAAGGTTTACCAAGAAAATGCATCTCTGCACTGTGACTCAGCACCTAATGAATTTTGCTATTATTACTGAACATTTCTCAAGACTCAGGGGTCACAAGTTCACAAAAGAAGCCTCGACTAATCCTGGGCAATTCTGGATGCAATTCCTGAATGGAAGGGAACAGAAGGAACCACCTGCCACAAATAAAGTACACAGAGAAACAGGAGACAAGAAAATACAATACCTTAAATATCTGAAAAGATAACAAATGATGGGAAAATGCTAACAAAGACAAAAAAATCATCCAATCACTGTTTTGAACTCTTTCCCAAGTCAACACAAGGGAATATTACTTTATATTAATAAGCTCACTTTACAACATAAGTTCTGTATTAGGAAGGAAAATGTTTCTTACCTGAGACAAAGTAGACACAAAGTTTTCTAGAATGCAACACAGCCAAATGAAGCAGTTCAGTACCTCTGAAAAAGAAAGTTTTCAAAGATTTTAGGTATTAGTTTCAGATACAACCAAAAAGTTATAAAATAATTTCAAGACCATCTCACTACTAGGACCACTGTAAGTAAACAGAACAATTGATTAAATAATACTCTAAGCTGAAAAATAAGTTTAACAACAAATAGGCAACCTGACAATCATGCAGGCTTAATGCGCTGTCTTGCCAAGTGTGGTGGCATTTGCCTGCCACCCAGCTACTCAGGAAGGTGGGACAGGAGGATCCCAAGTTTGAGGCCAGTCTAGGAAACTCAGCAAGACCCTGTCAAGCAAGGAAAGAAAGACAAAAAAGGTAAGAGGGAGAGAGGGAGAGAAGTAGGGAGGGAGCAAAGGAAAGAAAGAAAAAAGGAGAGAGGGAGAAAAGGAGAGACGGAACCTTAAAAGGAGGGAGAAAGAGTGGGAGGGGGAAAAATATGCTGCCTCCAGAAGCTGCCCTCCTCTTGAAACAATTTGGGCCCCCAAGACACGGTGAGCCCGGAGTCACCTTCCGGAGGACCTGGAGAACAGTGCCACAGCAAAGAGTTCCCAGGATGGAACTGCAAATTCTACCTCTGAAATTCACCTGTCACTCTGGGCAAATCACTTAACCCTGAGCCTGTTGAAAATAAGATGTTTCAATTAAATGAAACACAATCATGTAAGCACCTCCTAAAGCATAAAGCACTACAAACACTCATCTTTATGAAGAAAACACAGGTATCATTTTCTGATTTGAAATGTTATTAGAATACTGAGAACATTCAGTAAAACCCCAATATACATGTTATACTTCCCAGTCCATGTCAAGTGGTCTCCGGACAGAAACAGGGCATAGGCTACAAACCCTAAACTCTTAGCCTTCAAAGGTCAAGCTGATGGGTGTCACGACTACAGGATGGGAACGGCTGTGATTAACAGGAGGCTGGCCAGACTTCAGGAAGTGGCTACTACTTGGTTCTGAGTTTGTGACCAGGTCTCCACATTAATCAAGAAAAGCTAGAAAGCAGGGATTTTATGTGAAACCTCCAGTTCTCAAATGTTGGCAACTCTTTAAATTTAGAGCATGGCAGTTCCACATGTGAAGCAGCCCCAGGGTACAACTTCTGTACTGGCTCTGTTCTAAATGCAAGAACTGTAATTCAAGTCTGAAGACCTGTACGAGGGTTCTGACTCGTCATCTTACTAAATGTGTTTAATATTTCAAAGTGGTGCCATCTCATTCACAAAATAAGAATTGTACTAGATAATATCTATAAAATACCAGTGGTCTCATGGGTAGGTAAATACTGATCATGTGCACTACTGTCAGAAAATGCAAATATACAGAACTATCATGTACTGGACTGTGCCTTCAGAAATGCTTTTATGCAGCTGGACAAGCAAAACAATTCTCCCTCATGCTTGAGAAAAAAGTATGAGGTCAAGGAATGAGGGCTATAGAGTCTGAGACAGATCTGAGTCTTGGCTGTGTGACCTTACACTCAAACTCATTTCCTTATCTCTTTAATATTTAGAAACTTCTGTTTTCAGAAATTTTCTATAGTTCACTGGTATAATTCACAGATACACATAATGATCACAGTGATTATAGGGATCTTATACCTGAACATGAAACATCCTGGCTCCTCTTTTTCTCCCCATTGCCCTCCCCTCCCTTCAGCTCCTCTTCTCTTTACAAAGCTTTCTTTCCACGTTATCCTTTTTTCCTCATTTTTTTCTTTTTCTTTCCTTCCCCCTATTCTTCTTTCCTTTTGAAAAATTTCTTCCTCTTTCACAATCACTATGTATTTTGGTGATTTATACTTTCAATTTCTCACACCAGAAAGACAATGTGATATTTACACATGCATGTGCAATTTACTTCACTCAAGGTCCATCCATTTAGCTGTAAATGTCTCAAAGTATCCTTCTTTATGACTGAGCAGTAGGTCACACTAGCCTTGCAGATAAGGCTGAGACAATGTTTATAAAAGCCAACAAGAGCATCCACTCATTAACCTCTTCCTTCCCACGAGTGATCACAAAGATGAGAACTGCATGTAAATACTACCTTACAATAAGCTGACTGCATTTCACTTTTTTAAAAATGGAAAGATAAAAGTAGTTTTTACTTTATATCTATCATGCCCATTATGTGCCACGTTAAAAACCACGGACACCTGTTCTGGTTTGGGTCTAAAACGTCCGCCTGCAGGTTCCTATGTTCACAGATATGGCTTCTAAGGCAGTCTAAAAGCACATCAACAGATGAGTGGATTTTTAAAAAACATAGTATTTAGAAGTGGAGTACTACTCTGTAGTATTTAAAAGTGGAGTACTACTCTGTCATAAATAAAGATAAGCCTGAATTATCTGTAGGAAAATAGATGCACCATGAGACCACAGGTTAATAAATCAGACTCACATGCTATATGAGAAACCCAAGATATAAATAAATTAAAGAGTGAATGACAGAATAGAAAACATGGAGATCTTTTGCAAATGGGAAGGGGATCTAGAGGTGGACATAGCAGGAACAGGTAGGGAAAGGGATGTAAAAAGAATTAAGCTGTCTTATGTGCATGGACCAACTGCCTTAATGAGTGTGAACATTATGTACTACAAACATAGACTCATAAAAATTTAAAAACAAGAGCTCAAGCCCTAGAGGCAATTGGACCAGAGAGTTCTACCCTCCAGGGAGCTGATCCACTGCTGGAGTCACAAGCTGATGGAGCCAGTGGGAAGTGAAGGGAACTGAGGAGGAGGCCTAAACGAAGGCCACACATTAGGCAGTGCGACCCTGAGGATGGTATCTGGTCCCTGACCCTTTCCTCTCGCTTTTCACTGTTTTCTGGCTGCCATGATATTAGATGCATCCTCCACTACAATTCCGCCTCACCACAGCCCCAAAAGCCACAGAGCCTGCTGAGCACACACTGAAAACTCTGCAACCATGAACCACAGTAAATCTGTCTCATTTAAGTTATACCCAGGTACGCTGTCACAGTGTGAGAGCGCCTTATACATCATACAACTCCAGGTCCAGCCCGTCCTTGCGTATAAGAGCCTTACAGCATGCTCTGGTTAAGGCACCCCCACCATAAGTTCTCAGCAAGACAAAACTGTCACTACAGGACAGAGAATGCACAGGACTTGGCTGCTTTCCAAACAGGAGTCAGAACCCCAAACACACGGCACCTGAGGGCAACCAATTATGATGGGCAAATGGAGTGAGCCAAATCCAGAATTCAGGGTACTAAGTGGATTTAAGAGGGCATAGTGGGTTCAAAAAAGAAGAAATAAACCAAAAGACTGAGAAAAAGGGCTTAATTTTAAGAATTCATATATGAAAATAAGATAAAATCAGCAATACCACAGGAAATAAAAATCAGATATATTATGCAAAGTGCAAACTAATAATTTTCTAAAATAAATTCGGTTTAACAATAAAGTACTTTGAAACAAATTTCTTATATAGAGAGAACTTACTTTGTGGACTAAGCTGACTTCATTCAAGATAGGACCGCACACATGTAAATCATTTTAAAACTTCAAAGTTATAAGCCAAAAAGTAACAGTTATCTGACATTATGGCTAATCACTTAAATAGACACATCAATTGGACAATTTGCTTTTTAAATAAGTAAATGCTTCCTATTTCTTTATTTGGCTATTTTAAGAAATTATTAACTTCCTTTAAGACTCTAGTCTGTCAGGTACCTGTTACTATGAAAAGGTTTTAAACTATTCTATCATAAATGTAGAGGTTTCTGCATAAAAAGTGCTCAGCACATGAACCTGCAGGACAATTTCCAGGATACATACAATTGTTGTTCGAAGAATCCACGAAAGTGACACGTAAGGCCCTGGCACCCTGCGCATGCCAGGATTCCTGGGTGGTACTTACGACACAAACTTTCCTACTTCCACCTGAAGAATCGGGTCTCGCAGATGCACTTCTAAAAGCAGATCTTCAGCCTGAGCTCCATCTCCCGTTTTCACAGGATGGGGGTTGAAGATTCTAAGGTAGCCCATAAAACTGCCCACAATAATCTTGTCTGTAGAGAGGTTTTTTAAAAAAAAAAAATACAGAAAAAAAAAGTATTAGCAACTATCTTTAGGAATAAACCTTCTGATATGTAAAAGAAATCTAGTAAAAGAATGCTTCATATCCAAAGGCCGCTCTGCCAACTGAAAATGCAATTAAAGTGAAAGTATTTGAAGGACAACAGCTTTTTCTTTTTGGTACCCGGGATCAAACTCACAGCCTCATGCTTGCCAGGCAGGTGCTTTTTTTTTTTTTTCTTTTGTTTTCTTTCTTTCTTTCTTTTTTTTTTTTTTTTTTTTGAGAACAGCTTTTGAAAAGCAGCTTTAGGGCGAGGAAGGGGGGTGGCTCAGTGGTAAGAGCTTGCCAAGAAGGAAGGAGACCCTACATTCATTCAGTCCCAAACAAAAACGCTTCACATTGCCAATACTGAAGTGTATTCAAGCCTTACTTTCACATTAGTCATAATTTATCTCAATCAAAGCAAAACATTTTATTGAAGCACTAGTATAGGTTTTAAACTGATTTCAACATAAATTATCACCTCCACAACTGGTTGTGACTGACAAAAATACTGTAGTAGAAAGGATTCTGAGGGGTCACTACCATGCCCTGTTACTTAACAAATCTCTCCAGGCTTTTAAGTAAAAATAATGACACTGATCAGAAAGAGTACAATTGTACTTATACTGTTATAATGGAGTTACTAAGAGAATCTAGAAAACAGCCACACATTGGCATGCACCTGTAATCCCAGCACTCCGAAGACAGAGTCAAGAGGATCACAAATTCAAGGCTAGCCTAGACCACACACAAGGCTCAAGGCCAGCCTGAACTACAGAGTAAGACCTTGTCTCAAACAACCAAAAGACTCTAGAAAACTTGAAGGAGACTTAAGCCATCAAGTTTTTCTTAAGCACCCCCCACCCATCCTCAACTTCTCCATATCCTGTCACTCCCTATACCCCACCGTAACTCACTACATCACCAAGATTTGGCTTGAGTACAGCCCTTCCATCAGAAACAAGAGAAAGTCAAGATAGCCACAGCCACGCAGTAATAAGCACAGTATGTATATATTATACTTTAAACAATCAGAGGGACTATTACAGGAACTAGATGACAGGAACAGTCTAACCACAGAGTTCAACCAATGGTTAATTAACTAACATGTAATTCCCCAAATTAAAGGACTAAGAAGCCACTAAAAAGCCATTAATGTTTTTTTCTGAAGAATATTCACTTGTAAGAAAGCACACCCATGTGTCTATCTCACTGAGGTCTATAACTGCAAATATTTTGTGTCAGTGACAAAGATTAATTTCAGCAGCCAGACCACACAGTCCTGGCTTCTGCCTATTCCTGAAAGTACTCCAGTGTATAGACTTGGAACCAGGTGTGCACAGTCTCCCGGTCACACCACACATGCCTAGTGGACAAGGAGGAAGATTCAGGAAAGGAAATGCCCAAGCTTTGTAATAATGCTAAATATCGGGCTTTTAGGTACTAATTCTAGACTCTAGAAACACTCTTACTGCCAATTATGGAAGCCTAGTCATATGTGAATTCTTTTCCTGTCCTTTAATACATAAATTTTTTAGCACAGTTCACTCAGTGAGAGAACAAACCAAATGTATTTTTTTCTTTTTTCATTCTGAGAGTATAGAGCACTTATGTGGTTCCCAAATTTGTATATTTAAGGAATATGATACTGGGAGAGCTAAACAGAACTGTTTCCCACCAAGGAGAATATCAAAATCAGTATCACTCACCTGTCAGATTTCGGATACCTTCCAAAATTCAGTATCAAAAACTTAAATAGGCAGTTGTGGTGATTCCTAGCCCACCTTTACTTAACTAAATTTGCCAATAGTAAAGTCTAACGGATAATAGAGAGTTAAAATTAATCAAGATATCTGCACTCTCTCCTTCTGCATTCATTCTTACCTTCTTGCTTTCTGTCACGTGAAAAAGAAGTTCCTACCTGTTTAAGGTCAGTTAACCCTTCCACCTGCACATCTGATCCCCTCACTAACTGTCTTCCCAGGACGCTTGCTTGGCAGTCATAGCCATAGCCTCTGTCCTACACACTGACTCTACACTGTCCCCAAGTCATCACCCTGCCATAGCTAAATTTCTTTAGATTCTTGGTCTCCCTATCTCCCACTCAATCTCATTCTCTGCAAATCTAGGTCTTGTTACCATAGTAACCACTCACCTGCTCTTAGTGGATATGGCAATGAACTACTTGCTACTAAATGGCAGGGACACTTGTCAGTCCTCTTGTCATTAAGCCTCGCCTTCCAGGCATCAGCCCAACTGGCCTACCTGCCTGTGCCAGCCTGTTCAGAATCACTTATTGCCAGTGTCTCCACACCTCCTCTGCCATGTCTCCATGCTCTGGGCACAGTCCTATGCTTCCCTTACTCTTATTCCGACTTCTCTCCCTGTACACTTTCATCTGTTCTCAGGCTTCAAATACGAACAGCACAGACCTCAGTTCCAAATCCCTACCTCTATTCTGTATACTAGAGGTTTCTGTCTCAAACAGAACACATCTAAAACCTGCTCTTATTAACTTTCCATGCCATAAGAGCAATAATAATAATCCCCAAACTTTAGAATACCATCACTCAACTCTAGAAATTCTCAAAACACAGCCAGATGTAATCCTAGCACTCAGGAGGCTGGGAGGAAGATCACCATGAGACCCAGACCCAGACCCAGGCTAGGCTACATAGTGAGTTCAAGGCTGGCCTGAACTATATATCAAGACCCTGGCTCAAAAAAACTGAACAAAAAAAGAAAAGAAAAGTGTGAAAGAATTAACTAATTCTCAAAATTTAGGTAACTGACCCTTGCAGAGAATACAATCTTGTAAGATCTCCTTTGTCAGGAATAGACAATCTTCATATATGAAAATTACTCCAGGATACTGGGAAATAATAATAAAAGCTTTTATCTATGTGGCACACACACAAGAAACAATGTTTTTATATACTTCTTGGAAAAAAGGAAGCTGCTCACAGCTGGTCACAAACTAGAAGTTGGGAGGCAATAGCTCTGCAACTGGTAACCCACAAGTGGCACCCAGTAAGGAGCACTCACGGAAATAGCTAAGTGTGTTATTCACACAATCAGTAAGTGCAGTGTATTACCAAGGTGAGCTACGACAATCTGGGCAGCAGTGGGTGTCAGGTGTCCTCTCTGGCAGGCACTTCTGTGGTGTGACTCTTAAGTGGCCACTATGCAAACCACAGCCTCAGCAGCAGTGCAGAGGCAGCTGGATGATCCTCCAAGGACGCCCTCGGAACAGAGGCCCTCCCACATGCTACCACATGAGGCAGGACTCCGATTTTCCTCAGAAATAACTGACATAGAACAAAATGTCATTTAGGACCAATGGCTCTTCTTTGTCAGCATAATTTTTCTCTTCACTTTTTCCACAGATCCTACTGTTTTAATTATGGTAAAGAGAAACAGAATAAAGAAAAGCGGACAATACTCATAACACTGAACAAAAGAAACGACATAAGAAGCTTCCTTTCTAACAAGCCAATGATTATGTGGATTACAAAACAAAAGTTCATGACTATAAATGATTTAAGTCTCTGGCTCACGAAAGAGTTCTGTTCCTAGAGAATTGTTTGTAAACAAGATTTGTTTGTAAGCCAAAAAAGTGAGTATTATACAGTATACCTATAAAAGTTCACAACTTGTATGTTCCTAAGTTGGGGACTTCCCATACAAATTTCATGTCAGTGATCTATAACTTAAAACATACTAAGATGTAAAGAGGAATAAATAATATAAGAACAGGAAATGGCTTCAGTATTATAATAAGGACAGCAATGATTTGACGATTGTCTTCTACTAACATACACAGCGAGCATCATTTCTGCTATTAATAGTTTTCATATCCAATTTAAAAGGGATATTATTTTTCTTGTAAGTAATTTCTAAATTGGGCATGGTGGGGAACACTCATAATCCCAGGACATGGGGCTGAGGCAGCTCCAGTCCAGCCTGGGCTACACAGCAAATTTGACACCAGCCTGGACTACATAATGAGACCCTGACTTCAATGAATGAATGAATGAATGAATGAATGCTGTAATTAAGACAACTTAACTATGTCCCATAAAGTACATATTTAATAAGGTTCATTATTTTTATTTGCTAAAGCTTTGCTCCTAGATGCAGTCTTGATGCTGGGACACAGCTCAGCAGCGTGGAGCTCAGCAACCGAGTGTGTGAGGCCTGGTTCAACCCACAGCACCAAGAACAAACTGCATGGCAGAAGCTGCTTACCTTGCCCACTTCCACTGTTGTCAACATCGGCCAAACACAGACAGCCCTGATCAAATTCTTCCTTTTCTCCCAGAAGAGTGGACCACCAGTCACGAGCTTTAAACAAGGACATGTCCCTTCACTCTAAAAAGAAAGAGTTCATTCTTAATAAAAATCCACTTCATACCATGAATTAATTATCTCAAGTAATACCAGAGTAGATTTAAATACCTTTGAGATTGATATTTCTGTATTAGGGTTTTTTTTTTAATTTTTTGTACACATGTGTGAAAACTCAAATCCAAATGAATAGAAACACGAACCAGAGATTTTTCAATACCACTGGTAAATTGGGATGAATTTATACATTTATGTTTGGCTAATGCTATCATCTGAGACATTTAAGGAAAGAACTGAATAAAAAATTTTTTTAAATATTCTTTCAAGGACCATAGTTTAAAATCTACCAGCACTACTGAGTGCACAATCCTTAGCAAAAATACCAAACTTCCTTTCAATCTGAACTGCAGCAGTTACAGGTGGTTGAAAAGATCCAGTGAGAATAAGGAAATCAAATAACTGACATGGAAACTGGTATATTACAGGGACAGAACTCAAAAAGCATTGGTTTCCTCTTGTTACTAAAATCAAAAAAAGGCAAGATGGAAGAGGGAAATTCACACCAAAAAAAGAGCCAGAGACACCAGTCTGTAGTTCCATGAATACCAGGGTGTCAGACTCTCTTTTTCCATGCACTTACAAGGCAGGTGCTTATGCCACTGAGCTAAATCCCTAGCCCCTACTATCTCTTTTCATGTAAAGGAAAATAACAGCTAATATTTACGGATCACTTACTAAATGTGGGGCAGTTTGTAAATGCTTTGTAAGTATCCTATGTTAATCTTCCTAACAGCTACAAAGTGAATCGTGAGTCCTATCCTTCAGGTATCCCTGAATATACAGAGCTTACGAAATCTGCCCAGAAATCCAAATCAATTAGTAGTGGGTACAGTAGCTAAACCTAGGTGGCTCCTCCACAAACTCATACAAAATGCCGTGTCTGGCTCACTGCTACCTCTGTTGTTGCCTGGCGTTGTTCAGACTACAGAGGAGGCGCTCACACATTTGATGACATTAGAGGATGACGAGAAAGTAAAAACTGGAGGGTGTTAACAGGCACCTACATATAAGTAAGGAAAAATTTAGTTTCTGAGCCTTTAGGAAAAAAACAGGGTTTGTCACTTGTGTCCAGGTATCACCCCAAAGCCTCACATAGGTCAAGGGGACAGGCTTTTAGAGTTTGTGATTAATTCATGGTCCAATTCTAGGATTATGGGTGTGAGTGCTATACCTATCCTGTGGCAGGCAATATGAGAGACAAAGAAGCTTGCTGTCTTGCTCTTCCCTTTGTGCTCTTGTTTTTGCTGTCTTCTGCCACCATGAACTATTGCCCCTCTGCCACACCACTCTGCCTCAGAGCCAACTGATTGTGGACTGAATCCACAAACTGTGAGCTAACTTTTCTTCCTTAATTTGGGGCACCAGGTATTTTGTCTCTGCAAAAAATACCTAAGACAAAGGAGATAATCTCTTTATCCCTTAAAAGCTCCAGACATTCTCTTCCTGTCACTTGACACCTTCTTTGTGGTTGTTTGCTGTGGTTGTAGTGCTGTAGGTGGCTCTGCCCATAATCCAGGGCCTGTGTCTGCCAGGTAGGCACTGTACCGCTCAGTTATACCCCATTTCCCACACATATACTTTTAAGACAATATCACTAAGTTGGCTCAGGCTGGGCTTGAACTTTAGACCCTCCTGCCTCAGCCTTTAGAATAGCTGAGATTATAGGAATGAGCTCCCATACCAGGCTTCTTTCTAGTTTTTAAACTTATCTACATAGATGTTACCAACATGCCTTAGATTCAGGCTCCCTCAAAGAGGCAGGTTATTTTAATGCCTTACTGGCCTAGTCTTACACTACAGAAGGAACATAAAAGATCAGCAATTGCAAAGATAAACTCAAAAAAAGCTGCGCGAGAAAGGTAGAGGTTGAAGACAGACTGTAATGAGGAGGAACAGACCCAGATACTGTTGTTTATACTCGGAGCTCGGCTTTGTCCATATTATCCTGGTGTCACATCAAATCTCAGAAAATAGGAATCAGGTCTTCCACCCCAAGAAAGATGGCACATGCATGCAATTAGAAGGATACTGCTTTCAAAAGCAGACTAGCAAGGACTCAGTGCTGGGGAGGAGAGGGAGTCTCAATAACAAACACAACAGCAAAAGAGCAAAGCAGCCACGTCAGATGGCCCTGGACTCATGCCTGAACCCCACCTTCCAGCCCCGACCTTAGATGACCCTTCATCCTGTCTCCCAACTGTGCTGGCTGTGAGAATGAAATGATCTAATACACACAACTGCTTACCCCATACATAGCAAGTAGTCAATGTGAGGTAAATGGCAGTGGAAACCTGGCAGCAGTTATGTGATGGTGGTGGTGGCTACAGATTTGAACCCACAACCTAGGCTCCGAGCAAAACAAAATTACAGGTGCCAATTTGGCCTTCTAGACTACAAATTTAAATGGGAGCTGTAAAAGGCTGGCAGCAGTATTTGTGGGTATGTACGGTCCTGGGTGTTGAACCTAGGGCTCACACAGGACTTTACCTCTGAAATACACCTATCCTCTGACAGGAAGCTTTAATGAAAATGCTATTAATTGGCAAGAATGATTTATAATTTCGTGTGTTTCAATAATCTTCAAAAACTGTTCAAGGGCTGGGAGTAGTGTCTCTGACAGACAAAAACACCAAAATGACACCCAGGATTTGGAGGCAGATTTATTTTATGCAATGGGCACTGACTGGGATCATTCCCAAGACATTAGGCCCTGATCCCTGGTGGTCTAGGGCTTTTATGGGATAAACAAGCAGAAAGTACAGAGGCAGAATGGCTTGTCGACTGGGGATTGGTGCACACAAAATGCATCACAGTGACCAGCCGTTTCTAAGAAAAAGAAGCAACCAGAACTGGAACAAGAACTGTCACCTGGGCAAAGAAACTGGCGAGGATTTTGTTACAGCAGAGCTCAGCAGTAGAGTATGTATACAAGTAGGAAAAAAGGGGTCAGGAGGTAGGGAAAGAATAGAATAAGGATCTCATCAGAGTTAATTTAAAGAAATTAACGGAAAACCTTCCTAAAACCAACTTTTGCCTCTGCTGTTGGATTTGAAAGATTAAAAATACAAAGATAGAGAAAAAAGAGAAAAATGAGGCCTAAAAAAGCACCAAGTAGTGCAAGTAACTTAAGAATTTACCAGAAGAAGAGCTGATAGACAAAGCACAGAGGAAACCAGAAGCATGAAAATCAGATAACTCCCCTAATTCCATCTCCAATACAATGCAAAGGAGGCAAGGGGACCACCTGACTAAAAAGAAAACTCTTGATTTAGTATATAAAAATACACACACTAAGCATTTTTAATATACATCTTTTTCCCCCCACTCTAAGGTCACTATACACATCTCCTTACTTAATCACCAACTTTAACGGCAGGAGGAAATCAAAGCCCAGAAAAAGAAATGTACACAGGGACAGGGATACCTAGTAGGTCTTGTGACCTGGGGTCCACAGGAAGACAGCCCAGACAGCCAATCAGATTGTGATGTTCGAGGCACCCATCCACCATTTGATAAAATGAGCCAAGGTCAAAGGCCTGGAGAGGATCTGTTTCTGCAACTCCTGCCTTCTCTTTGGGGCAGCTGTCATACTTTTTTCTCCTTACAAATTATAGTGTCTTCCCTTCTTCAACTCCATTCCTTTCATTCATTAGTAGTGCTGAGTTTACAATCCCAGTTAGCTCATCCTGGCAGTGCTCACCCCAGCCCAGATGCAACACAAGGTTCTTGATGTCATGTTTAAACCCCCAAGACCTGACAAAGAAAGACTATCAATTTGATTCCAGCCTGGACAATTTAAGAGAGATCTCAACTCAAAATAATCTGAGGCAATTTTTTGTTTCTGTATTTTGGTTTGGTTTGTTTTACTGTTGAGACAAACTCTAACCTACATAGCTCAGGCTGGCCTTGGACTTGCTATGCACCACAGACTGGCACTGAACCTGCAATCCTCCTACCTCAGCCACCTAAGTGCTGAGATTACAGGTGTGCACCACCACATCGGCCCAAAATAAAATGTAAAAAGGGGTAGGGATGTACCCCAATGGTAAAGCACCCCTGGGATCAATCCTTGGTACTAAAAACAAGAAAAAAAGAAAATCCCAACACCAAAAATAGATACATACACATACTGAATATAACAGAAAGTGTTCTGAGAGATGAAACTTGCTAACCACCTGAAAAACTGTATACTATGTCCGTTGGACTTTTTTTTCCCTTGCAACAAGTATTTCAATCAAGAAGTTGCATATGCTGATCATAGCTACTTGGGATGAGGCAGGAAGATCTCGACTTAAAAGAAATCCTGGGCAACCCTGTCTCCAGATTAAATAAAAGGGCTGGGGTCATAGCTCAGTGGCAGTGTACTTACCTGACATGCACAAGGCTGTACTTTCAATCCTTAGTACCACAAGGGAAAAAAAAGTGTAACACAAACATATATGTAAGCCGTAAATATAGCACACCAATTACATGTAATTTAAAAATCCCTTAAACTCTCAAAAATAACTTGTAAATTATTTTCAAAACAAAATCTCTCATATCTTCCACTCTTTATCATAGAAACACAGCAATCAATCATCCTGCTTACACACTGCAAATACATTAGTCTCTCGCTCATTCTTGCTCTCGTTCTGAATGCTGGCAGACTTTAATTAAAACCCAGTTTTCTCTTCATATCTTTCAAGTTGTCTCTGTGTGTGTACATACAAGATGTGTGTACGTGTAAGACACGATTTCATATTTAAAGTAAAAGATACCGAAGAAATCTATAAACTTCTCCAGGCACTCCAGATGTACTGCAAAACTTGATGGGGAGGAGGTGTTGATAAAATCAGCTTAGTTCATGTAGACTGCTGTGGTCTGCAAAAGAGAGAATGGGAGCAAGTAATCCTACTGCGGGAAGCATTAGGATCTCACTGCGGCCTCCCCGGCAGTAAACGGTTGAGAACGCTTGGCTGGCTCTGAGACCTGTTGAAAAGTGGCCTGCGGGTGCTCGGGTACCGCGCCGTGTCCGCAATCCAACGCGTAAACCGCGCCCTGTCCCGAGATGCTCACAGAATCCCGGCTTTCTTGTTTTGATGCAAACATTCCCGCCCCCCTTAGCAGCCCACACAGGCGTTCCCCAGACCATGCCACGCATCAGAGAACGCGTCCTCATGCACAGCAGATAAAGGAGCGAGGTCCCGAAGTTTCCTGCCTCGTCGCTTCTTACCTGACTCGAGTGCAGCGGACTCCGCCTCGCCTTCCCGCCGACCCTCTCCTCAGACGCCCTTGGAAACAACGACTGAAACCGGGTGGACCAGATAGCGTCAGCTGGTACAAAGACAAGGTCCCTTCAGCCTCCCACCCGTCCCTTCTCCCGCTCGAAGCAGTGTGGCGCGGCACAGCAGGCGCGAAGCCGCCGCCGCCGTGGTCACCTGCGGAGGCTGCAGGGGCACCGGGCGAGCACTGCCTATCTCACAGAAAAACAAACCGAGAACGCGGAGAGCCGGTGAAGCTCTAAACGAACTGCTGCTACAGGGACACTGCCCGCCTCCTAACCCTCACCAATCTTTGCCCGGTTGTCTTGGTGACCAACTACGGGCGCCACTGCGCAACGCAGATTTGGCGCCGCGGGAACTACAGGGACTTGTAGTCCACCGCTGGTGAAGTACCTGCGCCCCAGGACAGTCTGGGAGTTGCAGTCCTGCGCCGCTGAGGTAGCTGTGCCGCAGGGACGCCTGGGAGTTGCAGTCCAGCGCCGCTGGAGGTGCTGTGCCGCGTTGCCGCCTGGGAGTTGCAGTCTAGCGCCGCTCAGGGGGCTGTGCTGCGGGGTGGCCTGGGAGTTGCTGTCCAGCGCGAGAAGGCACGGAAAACAGACGTTTTCGAGTGGGCCTCGGCTGGAAGCTAATTGCCGCTGTGTTGAGCGTCGCTGTAGAAGCTGCCTGGTGGACTCCAGGAAAGAGAAGTAAGCACTACAATTCATTTCCGAGTCCTAAGCAGCACTTCCTCAGCAAAAGTATCGCCCACGCCCGGGCTCGGCTCGTTGTCCACGCCCTCCAGCCCATTGGGGCACGCGCTTCTGCGGGCAGAAGCCCAAAGTGTCAAACCGGTGAGGTAAGAGTTTCTTCCTAACAGATGAACCACTATTGTGTGACTCCTGACATACGTTCTTTTTGCCATAGTTAGAATACTGTTTCTTTTTAGTAATTTTAGGATTTCCTATATATAGGGGGTGAAAATATTTAGCTTCACAAAATAATGCTCACATTTTTGTTTGAAATTCAGGGCAAGTATACCTTGTTACCAATCTTGAAATTTTACTTGTTTGCTTCTTTTTCATTGGATTCCAGTTTGGAGTTTAATTTTACTGCTTTCCACCATTATTGTCCATATTACGAATACAAACTGTAATTCTAAAACTTACTCTATTTTTTTGTTTTTTTGCAAGAGGGAGCCACAAACTAGACAAGTGACCTGCCACTGGGCTATACCCACATCCCTTATCACTCTTTTTTTTAAAAACATAAATGAATTTCATGATGATAAGATCTTTTTTTTACCCCTTCAATATTGAACCACACAACTTTGATTACAATGAAAAAAGTTACTTGAGTAATGAGAAATTAAATTATGAGAGGACACACACTGCTTTATCAAGGAATTCAGGTTATTGAAACATTTTTACTTAAAATATTTAGAGCTGGAGATATCAGAAAACTGGAGAAGGAAATGTCTTATCTTAGTCCAATTGGACTTACATAACATCATACCTTAGAGGAAGTAATTTGTAAACTTCAAACTCTGTCGCTGACAGTTCTGCAGGCTGGGAAGTCCATGATCAGTGTGTACTGTGGCCCTTTCCGCATAGAGCCTTCTGCCCATGCGACTTCACAAGGTGGAAAAGCAGAAAAGCTCCCTCAGGCTTCTTCTGTAAGAGCCCAGTCCCATTCCTGACAGCAGACCTCTAGGAGCTTATCATCTACCAAAGGCTAGTGCTGAATACAACGTTAATTTTCCAGCGCTTAAATTCAGGAATGGGGGGCACACACATTGACAGCAGCAAGGTAACTACAGTGATATATGTGCATAATAAGGTTCTGATTGATTTGCTAAACAGCTCTTCTATTTTATCCGGTATTCCTTCTCCGACATCAGAGGCTGGAAAATAAGAAAACTGCATTGAAAGTGAAATCTTGTATTTCTCTGATGGTGCTGTAGCTAGAGATTCAGATCTCCTGTAGGTTTTGCAGTTTATGTGCATTAGTCCCAGATTTCAGTTTGGAACCCACTTGAATTCAGAGAAACATGATACTGATTCATCCAACTCTATCAGCATGAATCTGGGGCCAATCATCAGCGTTTTGACACCGACTTCAGCCCAGGAGAGATATTCCTGCATCCCACGGCCAAGTCATCATTTCTTTAGTCCTTTGCTTTGTAATTGTCATCATGAGTAGCTCCTGGGAAGAGTCATCTGGAATGGATGCAGGTTTTAATCCCACTGTGGCCAAAACATGTATCTCCCAGAGTAGTTTTGGGATTAAGGACATCCACAGCTGTCATAGTGAGAGTTCAGCTCAACTTTGCAGAACTAGCTGCTTCACGAGCAGCCCCAGCCTTTCTGAGAAAATACTGGGGCTGCAATGGCAACTGCCTCTGTCCCAGAGCATCCTTGTGAGTTGGCATAGAGAGGCAATCATGCTCTCGTGGCATGCCCTCATGCCAATCTGGTTGGGGGATTTGGGGATTTCACCTGTGCTTAGTCCCTGCTCAATCTTTGCTTGTAAGGACAGAGCTTCTACCACTCCCCCAGAGAGTTAGAAGCAACAGTCAAGAGGGCTGTTACAGGGAAGAAATTAGTAGTTATCAGTGTTGAAGCCGATCACCTATTCTGCCAACTACAGAGGCAGCCAGAAAATACTGTCATATACCTGGGGTCATATATGTGGCTTTGAAGGAGAGGAGTAATAGCTATCAGTGACACTAGGACCCTTCAGGCTGCCAGAGGGAAAAGCACCTTAAGGTACAGGCATCATTTTTATCACCTATACCTTGTTACCTCTACAAATACTACCACTTTAAGTATTTACATCTTCACTTTTCAACAGAATAGACAGGTGCTAAATGACAGGAGGGGACTTAAATCTACATGTTTGTGGTAATGAAGCTTAATCTTTTCCTTTTCTAGCTTTCAAAAGTTCTTCATACAAGTCCCTAATGAAACATACATTGCCTGTGCTGTGTTTAAGTATTGTTTCAGTATAGTGCCCAAAGATTATAGTACACAATTACTTTCTGGGATATATTATTTAACTGAACTAAAATGGAAGGAATCATCTTATTAAAAGGTAGGTGATAAGTAGTAACTGGATCAGTGTATTTGAGGCAAAGCGAGCTTTATTGAGGAATTACTGGAATTGCTCAATGAATTCAAGTAAGAGCTAACCAGGTACTCAATAAAAAGAGAATTGAGACTGCAGTCTCACTGTATTAATGTCCACTTTGTATGCTTTAATTTTGTAATCTGGACAACTGTTTCTGAGATGACAATATGTGATCTATTAACTGGTAGATTCTTACTGTATATTTTTTCTCTTGAAATTCTGTATTACTTCTAGCCTTTCACTGTTTTTGCTTCGTTTAGTTTTGTTTTTCTCTTTAAATAAAAAAAAATTTTTGAAAAAAAAAGAGAATTGAAAGATGACCAGCTTTCAAGGCTTTCAGGTATTATTGAGTGCATAGAAAAGATAATACACTGCTAACCCCCAACATCTCTATTTCTTTACATTTTTCAAGTTATCAGTACACATAGTCAACATGCATAGATGTTTACCTCTAGGTAAGTCAAAAATTTCAGGTCATGATTCGTAGACCTCGCTCAGCTACTCAGACCCAGTGCATGTGCATACACAAGAGCACAAACACTTCTCAGACAAATGCATCTGTGGAGGACAGAGTAACTAGTAACTGAGCGTGCTGCAGGATAACTAAATGTGTGTGTAAAGAGGAGTCCCAAAAGCCTTTTGGCAGATTCAAGCTTTACTCGTGGTAAAATGTTAGAACAAGCAATTTAATGCAAATGTAATTTGTCTTTTGAAGATTTAAATATTTTGATTTCTTTTTCCCTGTATATGAGGCATGATCAAAACAAATGTATATTTTAATAACCTTTTAAAAGGTTATTACAGAGCAGACTTGTTCCAGAGAAGCAACACACACCTTCAGGGGATAGAGCAAACCCACGCTGGAGGAGTGGCTCCTGCCCCTGTGTGAGCAGGCATACATTTGCAAAGAAAAAGGAGTGACTTTTTCCTAATCCTAGGGGAGTGAACAGAACATCAGAGGACGAGCTCCTCACCCCTGTGTGACTGACCTGACCCATGCTGGAGCAGCATGCCCATTCCTAGGCAGTAAGCAGAACATACTGATCATGCAGCACCCTTCTCCTAAAAGAGCACAACACAGAGCAGCAGAGGCAAGGAATAACCAGCCAGGCTGATCCTGGACCAGGACAATACCAGGAAGATAAGGGAACAACTGGAACACATAGCTGAGGACCCTTTAAATTCAACACCCCACATATACACCTGCCCTGTGGCCTACATCCAGCATAGAAAACAGGACTAACCATATTCCCCACCTACCAATGAAAGCAAGGATATGCCTTGCCTTGACCATGAACCACAATCCAACGGTAAAGATACAGAAAGGCCCTCTAATGCAGGGGAGGCACCTCAGAAACCCATAGGTGCTAATGCAAGGCATTGAAAATTGTAACTGGCTGGATGATCCCAAGATTGCAAATTTAGGAAAGAAACTACGTGTCAATAACATAGGAATTTTATTCTTTGACTCAATCTGGGTTTTTTGGCTTTTCTATTTTGTATTATTTTTAGCTTTCCTTCATTGGGTTTTGGAGGCTTTAGAGTTTTTTCTCTTTTACATTCTTTTCTCTCCTTTTTTTGTTTCCCTTCATCTGTTTTTGCTTCCTTATTTTTTATCTCCTGCATTTATTCTCTGTTTAACTTTTCAATCTTTGTCTTGGGTGTTCTTTTCAGCAACTATTAACTTGTATTACTATTAATTTCCTTTTACTGCTCAATAAAACTACTTATCTTTTGTCTCCTCTTTCTTATAACCCCACTGATTAATTTTTCAAATTTTTTGTTTTTTCATTCTCTGACCCCAACCCTATGCCTTTACTAGTACAACTACTAAACTATGAATCTCTAAGATACCTAACTTTAAACTGTTGCTGTTTAATACTGTGCTATTGTTAATAAAGTTACTCCATTTAGTAGATACATACTCTAGGTCAATTGTAGGCTAATATTTGGTTTGTTTTAGTAGGGATACCTAACTTTACATTGTTGCTGTTGAATACTGTGCTATTGTTAATAAAGTTATTCCATGTAGTAGATATATACTCTAGGTCAATTGTAGGCTGATATTTGGTTTGTTTTAGTGTTCATACTATAATTACAGATTTCTATGGACAAGGGTAGTATCATTGGTCCTTAGAGTTTGTAAATATTCAGTTTATATTTCATACTATAATTGATGCTGACTTTATTGATGTATCCAGAGTGGCATAACTGTTACTATTAATTGGTTTTCTTCAAATGACAATATCTGGATTACTTTGGAGTCATTAACAATACTGTGGCCCATTCATAGAAAACTCTGTACTGGGCCAATTATGCTGCAAACTCGCACCTAAAGGACACCGAGGTAGTTAAACTCCCAGGACAATGGTCAGTATTTAGCAATGCCTACAGGGCACTACTCAGGAGTAGATATTAACTAAAGAGGTCCCCATACCAGAAACAAAGCTTCCCATTAAAGGTAACCCATAGGCCTCAGCACAGAAAAGCAAACAAACAAAAAATAAAAAACATGAAAAAAATGAGTCAACAAAATGACTCCAGAAATTTCTAATTCCCTAAGAGCAGACCCATGAGCTTTCTGAGGGAAGGAAACCAAAAGCCACACACCAAAACTATCTGAATTGATATTAGAGAAGATAACAAAACATATCAGTAAGGCATTTGGCAAGCCCAAGGAGATATAAGCAGTTATACAATGGACAAGTTACACAAAACCATCAGCAAGTC